ACTCGGAATGAGGGGATCTACTTAGTTTAAAATCATTATCCACTTTTCTTGTGTAAATACATATAAAAAATGCAAATTCAAATAAAATGTATTAGTTTATATTGTAATTAGATGAATATGAATTTTAAACTGCACTATGTTTTATACAGCCACAGATATAAAAAGGAAATAACCGTCTGTGTACACCTCGTCAGAATGAAATCATATATTCCGTGGCTGAAGAGCGATGAGAGGAAACATTTACTTTAAACACATCACCCCCTTTACCTGACTTCATTATACTCAAAAACTAAACTAGCTGTGGTGCGTTTACTGCCTCGGTGGTGTAAAGTATGAGCGGTTCCTGAAGGCACCACCTCGGGCCGCTCAGTAGAAGTGAACTGCGCCACAGCGGCCTCCTCCTCGCGGATCCAGCTGCACCCGCTCCCACACTAGCCGCCATCTTCGTCGGCCAAATAAACGCCATTTTTTCGGGCCGCCATACTTTCTCGACCGGGGAAATATGGCGGCGCCCATCGACACATAAAACATGGCTTCCCATAAAAACAAAAACATTCCAAATGGGGTTTTAAGTGGTTCGGAGCGGGGGAATCGTCCGCACTTTGGCGGAGCACAAGGCCCCGGCCGGGCCCCGTCGCACGGCGAACACACTGCGAACAAAGCGAAGCAGGAATTCACTCCGGACTCTGAACTTACCCGATGCCCACATAGTGACGGAAAACTCCCCCTCAAGAGTCTTGATCTGGACCTGCTTCTGCTCCCACTTTCGGCCCATCTCTCCCCCGCTCAGGTAGCTCTTTTTGCCCGCTTTCTTGCCGCTGCCAGCCCTCTTCATCCGGCCCGAGCTCTTCCCGGCCACAGTGACCAGCGTCTGCTCGATGTAGTCCTCCTCCACGGCGGGCACTGGGATGAGGATCTGATCCTCGAACCCGTCCTCCGTGTGCAGCTCGGAGTCATCCTCTCCCACCACCTCCTCCCTGGTCTGCACTAAAATCACCTCCTGGTGCGGGTGGATCGAGTCCGGATCGTCCAGCGGCTGTAACGCAATCATCGGCTGGTGTTCGCCGTCATCTCCAACTATTGTTGTCTCGATTGTCTCTACTTCGATTTCGTGTAATTCCACTATTTCCGCAGGCATCTCCGACCCGTCCGTCTCTATGTACAGGGTGTCCCCCGACGCCATGTTTATTATGGTGTTTCCTCCTGTTTAAGTGCTGTTTTGTTTCCAGTGTGTTTCTCCTCGCAGCCTTCCTCCTCCCTCTCCGTCAACAACTCCACTCCTCTCAACTCTCGTCGCCACAATGCTCCACATATCAAGTCTCGCGTGATTTGGGACCAGGGGACTGTTGAACTGAGCAGGAAGTCAAGATTCAAGGGTTTGTTGTCATATGCACAACAATTACATTTAGAAGTTGCTGGCAATGAAATGCTTGAGTCCCAGGCTCAGAAATTATACAAGAAAA